GGGCCGGGAGCGGGCGGGCGGAGCCGGGGCGGGCGGGAGAGCGGTTCGCTCCTCCTCGGCCGTGGGGTTCCGCCATGTGGCGTGGGGGCCGCCGTGGGGCTGGTTTGGGTTATTTTTTAGTTTTTTTGGGTTTTTTTTTTTTTTTTTTTTTTTTTTTTTTTTTTTTCCTTTTTGTTCTGTGGCCAAAGGCGGCGGGGGCGATGCAGAGAGCTGGGGCCGCGGGGGTTGGGTGCCCATAGGGTCCCCCAGGGTCGGGGCCGTCCCGTGGGCCGTGCCTCAGGGTATTGGGCTCACAGGAGGCCAGCCCTGCCGGGGGGCTGGTCGCTGACCCCTTGGCAGAACGCAGCATGTCAGTAGGGTACCAGGGAGCGGGGCTGGTTCCTCGTCCCCTGGGGTGCCCCCCAAATAAAGGGGGCTTTGCTGGCGGGGTGGTGGGCGCCCCGTGTGTGGGCAGCCCTGGGTTCTGCCCCACATCCACCTGGGTGCTGCTAGAGAGGCCACCCACAGAGGGATGGGAGCAGGTGTTTTACACAGCCGTGCTGTCAAGAAGCTGTCCCATTCCTCTGTTTGTAAAGAAGGCCTTAGGTAACGTAATAGGCTGAGAAGCAACACATATCCACATCTCCCTGTACAGCAGCAGGAAGCCCAGAGAGGAGGCCATCTTGTGCAGCTGCAAGAGGCCTGTAGAGGAGGCCATCTTGTGTGGCAGCAGGAGGACCGGAGAGGAGGCCATCTTGTGGCTGCCACACAGAAGGGACAGGGGAGTGACATAGCACCGTAGCACCAGCTTACATGCTGGGGCTTGGGGGGTGCCAGTTGTTTACACTCACCACAGGAGGAGGTTCCGTGTGGAAATAAATACACAGCCAGACTCTAGTGATGTCTGCAGGTTGAATGAGTGAAACTGTGCACAGCAGGAAGGCATGTAGGAGCCATCTTCCCCCCTGTGTGGAACGGCCAGGCCCTGCTGGTGGGAGCAGGGTGCTGCCAGGGCAGCAGCGGGTGACAGCCCAGCCCTGAGGCACAGAGGGCCTTGGCCTTCAGCAGATCTCCAAGCCCGTGCAAGGTTTGGAATGCAGATGACGCTTTTGTATTTACGAAGAAATGTCATCGTTTGATACTTGCCTGATGTCTTCCTCGCTCCACTTTTTAATAGCATTTTCCATACATCTGACACGAGGTTTGAGGTTATTTTGCTTTTTTATAATTCTGCTATGTGATTGACTGCCTGGGTTGTTCAGTGCAGAGTCCAGGAAACCAGGAAAGACTGGGCACAGTGGAGGAGATTACTCACAACAAACTAAAGTACACATTATGTTATAAAGAAACATATTTCCAGTAACTCTTTTGCTGGCCATTTGGGAACAAATGGCAGCTGTGGTGGGCTGCGCAGCGATGAGGTGGCCTCGGCAGCCTGTCCTACCTGAACCACAGGAATTGGGGAGGGATGCCTGAGAAAGTTATGCCATAACATTCCATGAGATTTTAGGTTGGTCGCAGCTTGT